TAAAACTGACAAATAAAAAAGGAATAAAATCTTTTTTCCTTTAGCAAACCAGAATGCCTTGTTTCATGACTTCCTGTATATCTTTTTATTGGGACAGGTAATCTTCAAGCTCCCTTAGGTTATGATAAATTTAGCTATTCTTGGCGGAGCAAAAAGGGAACCAAATTCCACCAGTCCATTGGGAAACACTACTCTTCTGGCTATGGACAGGGAGACATCCTGGGATTTTATATTAACCTTCCTGAAGAAACAGAAACAGCCAAGTCATTGCCTGATACTTACAAAGATAAGGTACGTTGTCCCCCCTGTCACAACCTGGGGCAGCCAGTGCCTGGAGCTGTGGTCTGTGTGTTCTCTTGTGATGTTGACTCCAGTTCACTTGTCTGTCTTCCTGGTATTTTATTACAAAAATTTCCAGATGGAATAGCAAGGTTGAAAGAATTTAAGAGCTGAATACTCATCACCAGATTCTACCATTTGAACATTTCTTCCATTCATTCTTCACTTTTTTTTTTTTTTTGAGACAGAGCCTCAAGCTGTCCCCCTGGGTAGAGTGCCATGGCATAACAGCAGCTCACAGCAACCTCCAACTCCTGGGCTCAAGCGAGTCTTCTGCCGCAGCCTCCCACGTAGCTGGGACCACAGGCACCCGCCATAACGCCTGGCTATTTTTTGGTTGCAGCCATCGTTGTTGTTTGGCAAGCCAAGCTAGATTTGAACCTGCCACCTTAGGTATATGTGGCTGGCGCCTTAGCCACTTAAGCCAGAGGCACTGAGCCTGTCTAGGTCTTGAGAATAGGATTTGTCCAGGACTTTGTAGAGGGAAACACTTTTTCAGTGTTAATGAGTGTCACTGACAAATGAATGCAGTTCCTCCAGTTAGGCAAAAGGTCAGGGCGTTCCCTTCCTGAAGTTGCCCGGGCCTAGGAAACCTGGGGTCCTCTGACCAGCCTTGAGTGGGGGAATCCTGTATCACTAGCATTCTGAGAAGCTGAGGTGGATGATTGCTTGAACTCAGGAGTTGGAGACCAGCCTGAGCAAGAGTGAGACCTCTTCTCTACTAAAATAAAAATAAGAAAAAAAAAAACCTCATGCACCCTGTGGTTCCAGCTACTTGGCTAAGGCAGCATGATTGCTCAAGCCCAAGAGTTTGAGGTTGCCGTACTTATACCACCACACTCTACCCAGGGTGACAAAGTGAGACTCTGTCTCCAAAAAAAATAAAACTGCCATAAGAAAAGATTGGGGAATGACCTTCTAGTCAGCAGGAGCTTTTGCTGCTACAGTCTGAGCCAGAAGTCCTGGGGCTGCCCACCAGCAGCCTGTCTTTCGTGTTGCAACCATCTGGCTCCGGCTCCGTCTTAGGGAGAGTCCTTCAGCTCCTCCTCTGAGTACTCCATGTGTGTGAGTTGTCCTTACAGCTCTTCAAATTGAGGAAGTGCTCAGCACACTTACTCTTCTGGCTGGAAGGGAAGGCATGTCACCTGGACAGTTACTGGGAGGCTTCAGGGGATGGACTTAGGTCTTTGGCTGCTGACAGTTGTCACTAAGAATCTTTAATCATGCTTTGACCCCAGTGCCCACCTCCCTCCCACCCTCCTGAACAGTGCAGGTGCTCATTCTAACCACAGACCCCTGCCTGTCCCGTGGTGGCTGTCTCAGCCGTCCAGCTGGGTATTATGAGGGCCTTGAGCACACCCTTGAAAGGACTACTAGTGTTTTGCAAATCTAGGAGGTAGAAATGGAAATTTCTTTCTTTTTTGTGTGTGAGAAAGAGTCTCACTCTGCCACCCTGGGTAGAGTACTATGGCATTGTAGCTCACAGCAACCTCAAACTCTTGGGATCAAGAGATTCTCTTGCATCAGCCTCCCAAGTTGCTGGAACTATAGGCACCTGCCACAATACCCACCTGACTGTCCTGTTTTTTAGTAGAGGTGGGGTCTCTTGCTCAGGCTCATCTCAAACTCCTAAGCTCAAGCGATCCACCTCCCTCGGCCTTTCAGAATGCTAGGATTACAGATGTGAGTCACTGCTCCCAACCAGATGGAAATTCTTGTCCATTAAGGTATGGGGATGTGGCCTTGAGCAAAACAATGGCATGACTGGTGTCCAGAGCTTTCATCCTGTATAGATAGTTGTAGCAATTTTGATTTTCCTGGGTTTCCAGCTGTAGCATTCTGGCATCATCATCTGCAAGAAGTTGGGGCTCATCTTTGAAACCCTGAACCCTAGATAGTCAAATATCAATGTCTTTCAAGTCCTTAGGGACATGAGATCCCCTTCAAGATTTCATCACAAAGCACATGATTTTCTTTTTCTTTTAGAGATAGTCTCACTCTTTTGCTCTCAGTAGAGGGCTGTGGCATCACAGCTCACAGCAACCTCTAGCTGTTTGTTGTTGCAGTTTGGCCAGGGCTGGTTTTGAACCTGCCACCCTCAGTTTATGGGGCTGGCGCCCTAGTCACTGGGCCACAGGCGCCACCCAGCACATGATTTTCAAACAACAGTTTCCAGTGGCCATGAACAGCACAACATTCACCCCAGGCAGCCAGTTAGGGCCAGACGCTGTGACTTCCTACCTCACACAGAATTTCTCCGTTTACCCTGCAGCCCTGCCATGACAGCCTGGACTTCATGGCTGTTTCCTTTTAGGGAAGAACAAGCCAGACCTATGGTCACTTCCTATTGTGGTCTTCCAATGAACCAAAGTATTGATTCTTGGGAAATCTAATTTGTTTACATTTTTCTTCTGGAGTCTTTCTGAAAGTTAAAACCCTTTGGCTATGCTTAAGTCATGATACTCATGATTTTAGTTTTTAGTTTTTATGTTTCTATTCCACTTTGAATTTTTGTTCATGGTATGGAGGTCAAGGTTAATTGTTTTTCAGTGTGGTTATCCAATTATTTTAGCACCATTTGTTAAATACTCTACTTTTTCCACTAGAAGTCATTGGATACTTTAGTGATAATCAAATGACTATATAAGTAGAGATATACTTCTGAGTTCTGTGTTATTCCAGTAATCTAATTATTGTCTTTTTTTTTTTTTTTT